AACCTTTCTAATGAATTCACAATTTTAGATTTTATATGCTGAAATTTAGGTGTACCTAATTCTTTTTTTTGGAGGGGGGGTGTGGGACTGAGGTTTGAACTCAGAGGTTTGCACTTGCAAGCAAGTTCTCTACTGCTTCAGCCAACACCTCCAGTTCATTTTGCTCTGGTTATTTTAGAAATGGAGTCTTTAAAACTATTTGCCTGGGCTAGTTTAAACCTTGATCTTCCCAATCTCAGCCTCCCTATTAGCAAGGATTATGAGGCACCTGTGCCCAGCTAATTTTTTAAAAATAGATTCTAATTCTCACTTGAATTACTGCATTTTTATTTATTTATCTATGTGGTAGTACTGGGGTTTGAATTTCTTTTCTTTTTTTGGCAGTATCATGGTTTGAACTCAGGACCTCATGCTTGCTAGGCAGGCACACTGCCACTGGAACTATTACCACCTGAATTACTACATTTTTACTCACTTTCCACCTAAGTGAAAAAATATTTAATGGACTAATCATACTATTATTTTTAGGGTATGATCAGCGTTATTTGTAAAGTTCTTAGCTGTTAACTTCAATGTTCCAGTCATCCGTGGGTCTGTTTTTACTGTCTGTAAATTCTTATCAGCAAACTGCAGTCATCTCTATGTCTGCTTTTACTGACTATGTTGTCTTCATTGTTGCTGCTTTTCCGTGGCTTCACCTCTCCTTGGTTTTGACACATTCTTGCACTGTGGGTGATGTGTTGTAGCAGCCTGCATTCTGTTGTCTCCACAGGATGTTAAGTTTTATTCTGATAGATCATCAAAATAGCAGCAGACCACCTGGATCCTTTTGAGGTTTGGTTGCAGGCTTTTAGGGTGGGTCTACTTTGTCCTCTCTTCTGCTAGTGTGGACTGTTTACACATAGGACATGGTTCTGGCTCTAGAGTGGCCTTTTAAGGGTCTCAACCGAATGCCTAGAGTGCTCACCAAGCTCTGGTCTGTCTGGCCTTGAACTGAATGTTGCCCAGCACTGTGGCTCCACCTACCTTTCTGCTCACACTGTGGATCTTCAGGAGCTGCTCCTGGGGTCCCTGGAGTCTCACACACATTGCAGCTCCTTTTCTGTCACTCCCTGGCCCCCAGACCAGTTCTATAGGTCTCAGCTGTCCCGGCAGCCCCAAATTCTTATCTTGGTTCCTTTCCAAGAGATTTCTATCTTTTGTCAATACTGGGGTTTGCACTCAGGCCCTTGTGCCTTGCTAGGCAGGCGCTCCTCCACTGGAGCCACGTCTCCAGTCTGATACTTCCACTTTCTGCCCAGTTCTGCTTCCTGGGGGAGAGGCTGAGTGCCCTTGAGGGAAAGCCAGGGGGTTGGATCTTCTAATGTCCTTTCCTTGTCTCCATCCTCCCACATGGCACTGTGCATCTGTTTACTGTCCAGGGTTGCTTAGTACACGAGGGTGAATCTAGTGCCAAGTGCCAACCACTCCATCATGTATGGAGCTAGAAGTTTCTGGGTATTGGTATTTTTAAAAAGCTTAGGTGATTCCCATGTGAGGCCAGGCTTGGGAGCTGCTATTTTCATCATGTTAGCAGATCATCCCAGCGACCTGGGTGCTCTACCTATAGCAGAAATTCTCAGGAGTTGATTTTCAGACATGCAAAGTGTTGCGTGCATGTTTTCAGAATGCATCCTAGCGTTTCTCTGGGATATTGGGGGTCTGGCGCTCATGTGCTTGGCTAAAATGTCATATTTCCCTTTTTACGTCAACCCTCACACCCATCTGAGGATGAGTGGGACTGAGGTATCTGCTTATTCTGGCACCCTCACCTGAGACTTCTCAGCCAACCCCTCCATGGGCTCCACGTGCTGGTTCTCATGTTGGGTAGTAGCAGGCTCTCTTCCCTGCCTGGATGTTCTTCCTCCCCACCCCCCCAATTCTCTGCCTTTAGGAGCTGGGAAATGGGGCTCCTTCCTCCTCTTGCCACCTCACTAGGCCCTTCTAGGACCCTTCTTCTAAGAAAATAACCCCAGCCCTAGAAAACACATCATTTTCTTCCTTGTCTGCAACACACCTGCCGGTGAGCAGGGGCCTTCCCTGATATGTGAGGCAAAGTGTGTGTTCAGGTCACCTGCAGTGCTTATAAGCAGGGAGAGTCCCCTGAGATACAGACTTCTGGGAGAAGACAAATGGTGTGAGTGACCTTTCTCAAAGGTGAGGGCACTGCCTGGGTTATGAGGCCTCTGTAGGACCAGGATGCTCATCCTGTAAGGATACTTGCTGTGGGTAACAGGCTCTCTACCAAGGCCTGTGCCAGATGCCTTGTCTGCTGCACCAGGCATGGTCAGCCCAGATTGGTGACCACACCACGGTTGAAGATATACCCTGTGAAGTGCATGTGTGCAGTGGTCTTCAGTACCACAGGACAGTGCCAGGCCATGCCAGTGTGCTTCACAATCACCAGTGGAGCTCGTAAAGTACAGGCCCCCAGGCTCCATCCTGGAGGCTCTAGGTCTGTGTGTGTGTGAGGGGGTCTGCCTGTTGACAGGCCCAGGATGGCTTTGATGCTGAGCTGCCCAGGCCCCCCACAGAGAAGCACTGTTTTGGCCATGTTCTGTGAGACAGGGTGAAGAGGTATTGTTTCTCCTGGGCAAGGAATGATCCACCCAGCCTCAGTAGCCTCCTGCCCACCCCTTGCCCGAAGACCCACCAACCTAATAGACCTTGATTTGGTCAAGTATATGGAAGTGGAGGGCAGTGAGAGCCAGACGGAGTTCCAGAAGTGGCAGAGGGAACTTATGCAGCCACTAGAGGGTTCCAGTAAGGACTGTTGTTCCTGAGGAGGGTGTTTCAGCATGGGAACCAGGATATCTGATCTCTTTTGTGAAAGTGTACTGTGGTGGTTGTAAGGTGACAGAGTGGGCAGGTGCAGGAGAGGACATTGGGAAGTCTTTGAAAGCCTTTGAAGTTGTCCAGGAGAGGTAGTGGCAGTGAGGTGACCCATTAGTCCTGCTTAACAGGACTCCTGTTTCAGCTTTGGAAGTCCTGTCCTAGAAATTCCTCAATCCAGGCTCACCAAGAGGGCTGTTCACCCAGCTCTGGGCCTGGGTGTGGGAGGTTTGAGACAGGGCACCACCCTGTGGATTTCACAACCCCAGGGGACAAGAAAGGCCAGCCACAGCCCACAAACACTATGGCCAGCACATCAGAGTCTCTAGCCTGTGATAGCACAAGGGATGCTTGCTTGGCCAATCCTCCTCCCAGGAAGGGAGTCCACTTGCAGTGTGGGTCTGCTTGTGTACAGGGAGCACCTCATCCCATGCTGCCTGCCATGGCTTCCTGGCCCATCCCATTAGCAGTGCTTAAATATGTGCACCAAGTTGAAAGCAGCCCACTGTAAGGGAGGGGCCACCCGCTCCACGAATCACCCTAATCTGGGTAGGGTCTAACATCCTGCAGATGTACTCTGTCACACAGAGGCCTCGGAGCCTGACCGTCAAGATTGGCGGACGCAATCCTCCAATTGTGATGCGGCTAAGCAATCTCATCTGAGAGACCTATGGGTTTGGGAGACCCCTCTAAGAAGGGGTCATTTGACCCTTGCTGAGGGTCCTGGCTTGTGTGATAGCTCTGTCCCTGCATTTCCTTGGTGGGGGTTCAGGTCGTCCACTTCCTGTCTAATGACCTCACAGGCAGATCTAGCCTGCTTGTGCAGCCTGAGAAGCTGTGCAGAGGCTTTGCCTTCTGTTTCCTGGAGGAAGAGAAATGATGTCTGTGTGTGAGAGCCAGACCACGGATTATTTTCACCAGCTGCTTTGTTTCACTAATTGACTGCTGCCTCTTCCAACAGTGCTGTGTGCTCTAGTACATGGGAATTTAGCAATTAAGGTTTCTTTTATTCTGTTCTGCTTGCCTAGAATTTGTGATCTGGGCTAATTAGACATCTCATCTCTCATATTCCAAGCTAACTTCAGCAGGTGGCTGGCTTAGTGGCTTCTTTTAACCTCAGACAGCAAGCAAAGCAGCAAGGTGCTCTGCCGTGCCATTTGAAAGCATGTTTTGTACTGAGTTGTTCATCCCCAAAGACAATGTCCTCTTATAAATCTAATGCTTTTTATAACACCACTGCATGCAGGTCTGCCTCGGGTCAAGCATTTGCCTGGGACAGCCAGGCGAAAGGCCCAGGGTAAGAATGGCAGCTGTATCCAGAGGGCTTCTTGATGCTATTAGATTCAGCACAAAGCACAGTGTTCTTTAAAGATGGTGGAGAGGGCTGGGGACCCCTCCATCACAGCCACCAGCCTGGCTGGCTTGCAGTGGCCCAGGTGGATCAGACAAGCTGGGTGTCTTTCTCCTGGAGCCTGCCTGTCCAGGTGTCCCTCCCCTGCCCTCCCCACACACAGGAAGCCTCAGCTGGCAGCAAGATGCATAAGCTATGCAGCTGTGCCCAAAAGCAGCCGTGCAGCTCTCTAGCTTTGTGGCTGCCTCTTAGAGCCAGGCCAGGGCTCCTGTTCACCACTTCACCTACTGCTTGCCCCAAAAAAGAATCTTACCCATCATGCCCTACTATGGTCAGCTGTGGATAAAACGGAGCTCCCCTTGCTCTGCCCAGTGCACAGCAGGAGGCAGGAGCTACAGGTGGCTTCTTTCCACCCTGCCAGGTAATGCCTATCACAGTACAGCTGAAGAGGGGACATCTTGCTGTGCAACCCAGGCTGCCAGTGCAGAGGCACTCAGAGGCTGGGGACTGGCAGGAGATAGCCCTCAGCTGGTACCAGCCCCAGATGAGCTGGCTAAGCCCAGGGTGGCCCACGGCCAGTGCATCATACAGCAGCCTGGGGCATGGGCTGCCTGGCTCACATCTGGGACAGTCTGCTTTTGCTTCTGGTCCCAGAGTCCAAGATGTTGGCAGTGCTGCTGACAGGGGGACTCCTCGTGTTGCCACTCTGCCCGTTTCTATGGTAATTGCAGATCTGTACCCTGTCTGCCTGTGTGATTGTGTTCTGTTCTCCTTGTAGATGGAGGAGATAAAATTTAAAGACAGAGCAGTCTTCGTGCTGGAGAGAGAGTTAGGGATTCAAGCCGGGCATACCCAGAAACTGCAGCTCCAGAAAGAGGCTCTAGATGAGCAGCTTTCCCAGGCCAGAGAGGCTGAGCGGCACCCGGGCAGCCCCAGACGGGAACTTCCTTATGCAAGCGGTGCAGGAGACGCCTCAGACCACTCAGGAAGCCCTGTAAGCACCCCCAGGCCTCACCCGGCCCACCCCGAGTCACAGACACGCAGCAGCGCCATGTGGCTGCACAGCTGACCCTTGGTGGGTGCTCCCTGGAAAGTCCAGAGCCCAAGTCACGCCCCAGTGCCCTCCAACCAGCCCTTGGCTTATCTGGCACTGGCCACGTGGGCTGATGGACTGGTGCCCTCCTTCCTCACACACAGCACAAGCAAGGCCTTGTTGCCCCAGGGTCCTGGCTCTTGCTGGCAGTGTCTCCTGCCCTGGCTGATGGAGAAGGACATGAGCTCTGGCTCTCTTCTCGCCTGTGTCTCTGGCTTGCTTCCCTCCCATGCGATCATTTCTGGCACTCCTATCACCGGACACCCTCCTACCTGCTTTCCATGTGTCTACGCCACCTCCTGCTCTTTCGGCTGCCAATGACAGCATGGGGCAGCCAGCAGTCACATGGCTGCAAGTCCATCCATCTCATTGCCGCTTCTCATTCAGATTCCTCTGTGGTGGTCTGTGATGTCCTGGGGGACTCTCGATGCCATCCCTCTGGGTCTTCAGTCACAGCCTCTCCTGCACCCATTGAATGAGGAACTAGAGCCGTATCCAGTTCCTTCCTGGACACCCTTTTGTTTGATTCAAGGACAAAACTTTGAGCTGAGCCAGTCCTGGACCAGTGACTTTGCGAGAGCAGAGAACAGCATTTGTGATGGCTTTCCTAAGAGCTTAGCTGAGTTAGAACCAGCCTCTCCCCCTGGTGCTGTGTAGACTGCTGCATTAATTCCAAAGTCCAGACCTGGTTTAGAATGTTTTCACTGACTTTTAATGCTGTTCCCCTGACTCCAAAAGTGACCTTTTAGAAACTCAACTTCAGGAGCACGAAAGCAACTTTAGAAAGTGGGCAGCGAGTATCTTTTCTTGTGCTCATCCTATAAAATGACTTGCCACCGGGCAGGTAGGGGAGGCCCATCTGACAGATGCAGCTTGGCAATGGCTGCGAGGAAGCATGCAGCTGGTCCTCACCCAAGCTCCCGCACTTGCACGCCCCTGCCTTCCCCATTTGCATACTTCACACATTTCTGCTTCGGTGCTGCCCCATCACAAAGTTTGCGGTGCATGGGCTTCAGGCAAGGAGGGGCCACACCGCCAGCAGCCACTTGGAAACAAAGACAGTTGCAATGCAGAGGTGTTGGGTTTCCATAGGAGTTGGATTTTTATGTGCCAGCATCTAGGAACAGTTATTTGCAGTTGATATTTGTTTTAGGAACAGCAGTTGGATGAAAAGGATGCTCGGCGCTTCCAACTTAAAATTGCAGAATTGAGTGCCATCATTCGTAAACTGGAAGACCGCAACGCCTTGCTGTCAGAAGAAAGGAACGAGCTGGTGAGTGGCAGGTGGGGCTTTGGGGTTTCATAGATCTTGTATCTGAACCTCTTGGCCATGTCCCAATAAAACTTTATAAACAAAAACAGCTGGGGGCCAGATTTGGCCCCCACATGCTGATTGGTCCCCATGCTGTACTACCAAACCAAAACTACCCTGGATTTTGCACCTAACCTGGGATGTATGAGGACACTGCTCTTCAGTGGAACGCTCACTGTTAGTCTTCACAGTCACTGAGATGTCCTGGTGACTCGAGCTCCTAGAAGGTGAGTGTGCTGCTCAGAGTGGCTGGGTGGTTTTACTACAGCTCCTGTTAGTGAACAGAGCATTGGCCCGGACTTCTGGCCTTCAGCCTCATCCCTGTCTACAGATAAGACTCATCTCCCTGGAAGCCTCCCACTCAGTGGGGCTCTGGGCAGATGGAGAGCAGTAAGAATGTGGGGCCTAAACCTGCCCTTCATCTTTGCAAAACCAGTCATTTTCCACAGTTGGTCTTATAACTCAGACTTCCCTGGAACTCCCTATGAATCCCAGGCTGTCCTGAAACTCTTAGTCCTCCTACCTCTGTCTCCTGAGTGCTAGGATTTCAGGCATGTACCACCATGCCTGGCAAATGTGTGTGTGTGTGTGTATATATATATATATATATATATACATTTGCATCTGTACTGAACATGTGCAGGCGCATTTCTTTCTTGTCATTATTCCCTAAACAGAATCATGTAACAACTATATTTACATAGCATTTACTTTGTATCCAGTAGTAAAAGCAATCCAAAAATGACTTGGTGCATATGTACATAAGTTCTATGCAAACATTACCCCGCTTTATATAAAAGGAACTTAAGTGTCTCATATTTTGGGGTCCTTTGTGTGTCCTGAAACCAATGCTCTGTGAACACAGAGCTTTGTCTGGTCAATTTGTTGGCTCTGTATTTTGGTTTTCTGTCACTCAAAGAAACTCATGCTACATAATTTAACTTTTCTTTCAGTTAAAACGTTTAAGAGAAGCTGAAAGTCAGTATAAACCATTGCTGGATAAAAACAAACGCCTCACTCGGAAAAATGAAGACCTGTCTCACACTTTACGGCGCATAGAAAGCAAACTGAAATTCGTCACCCAGGAGAACATGGAAATGGTAAGCCCTGCCAGGTCCCCGGAAGCAGGGACCTGAGCTCAGCCTGGCCAGCAATGGCCTTGCCACTCCCCATGTGATCGAACAATGTGATAAGCCTCCAGCTGGGTTCAGGCACTTGGGCTTTCTGCTCAAGGTGTGGTCTCATGTGCATTTGTGGAGGAGGAACAGAGAAGAGACAGCTCTTAGGAGAGATGCCTCAGATGAGGACCAAACACAGGAAGGAGAGGCATGGGAGTTGCTGGTGGGGCCTGAAAAGAGCAAGAGGTCATGAAGCCAATCACGCATCCCCTCCCTCTGCCACCTCTAACATTAAGGGCTTGGACAAGTGAGCTCCCAGCTCTGAAAATCCCAGGTGAATGTAGCAAGAGGTCCTGGAACCCTGGCTGTGGAGAGGGACAGAGGAAAGGGAGCAGGGCTGGCATGGAGTACCTAGCAGGGAGCCCAGAGCATCTGCACCAGGGGGTGAGGGGATCAGGGGCATTTACAGCAGAGGGATCCAGGGTATCTGCCCAGGGGGCCAGGGGCATCTGCAGCTGGCTGCTCCAAGGCCTGAGCAGAGTGGTCCTGGCCTGCAGACTAGGGGCCTGTGAGCTTCTTGTGCAGAGTAGGGGGGAGGCCCAGCTCGCACTGTCCAGTCTGACTATAAAATCCACTATTATTTGGTGTTTCAGAGGCAGAGAGCCGGGATCATCCGGAGACCCAGCTCCTTAAATGACCTTGACCAAAGTCAAGACGAGAGAGAAATTGACTTCCTGAAGCTCCAGATTCTGGAGCAGCAGAGCCTCATTGATGAGCTTTCTAAGGTCAGGCTCACCCTACCCTGACCCCTGACACCCTCCATCCGATGGGGTTGGGAGGGGAGGGAGAATGGGCAAGTGTTTGTGGGGCCATGTCAGGCTGGGTCCCCCAGTCTCCCATCTTCACTGCTCAAGGTGGCCTCCCTAGACAGCTCTCCATCCCTGGGTCTCCTGTCATGCTGGACCTCAGGGCTCCAAGGCAAGCAACGCTGCCTATGTTAGTAACAAAATGCCATAGTTGCTTCAGGCCATGCATTCTATACTCTTGTGGTTCTGATGGCCACAAGTCCAAAATCAAGGTATGAGTGGGTCATGTTCCCTCCAGGGGTTCTGGGGAGGGTCTGCTCTTTCCCCTGGGCAGCCTCTGGGGGCTTCCAGCATCCCCTGTCTTGTAGCCACATCATTCCAGTTTCTACCCCTTTCTTCCTGTGGTTTCCTTCTCTTCTATTACATTGTGTTCAGGGCCCACTCTAATCTATCCTTTATTTAACTACAACAGAAAAGACCCTGTTTCCAAATCAAGTCCCATTCATAGGTTCTGGGGTTTAGGTGTGTACACATCTTTTGGGGGACCACTGTGAAACCCATTTCACCACTGTACGCCAGGACTCCCTGTATCCTAGCACAGGTTTGCAAGTCATGCTTCATGAAAATCTCCAATAACTTGTGTAGAGCTACTTCTGCTTCTCTTGGGATCCTGGTTGAGTCCATGCTGAGGTCTTTCACAACAAGCTGCCTTCAACCATTCTGTGTCCTTTGGAAGGCAGCAGCAGAACAGCAGTGCCCCTCTCTGTCACTGGCTGGTCTTTTGCAATGACTAAAGCTGCCCCCAAAGTGACAAGAGCTAGAACAGGAAGACCTCTAACCCCCAGGCTGTGAGATGGGATCTCAGTTCCCGTAGTGATCATCAATCTGAACAGGGATGATTGAGGACAATGTCTTGGTCAAGTTTTTTGAAAACATTACCGCAGTCTTCAAAAGTCCTCCTCCTCCTGCTCTGAGTGAGGGAAAGGCCCACCCACCATGAACAGGCTCCTGGTGCTCGGGAAGTCTGCAGCCCTCTGTGGATGGGCTTGGGATGGGAGAAAGGACTGTGCTTAGGATAGGAAGAAGGACCATGAAGGCAGTGAGTGCATGGCTCCAAGGACTCTGCAGGCAACCTGATTTGCAGATGAAGTGCAGAGATCCAAGGCTCTGTCAGTCCCTGCAGACCAAGATGCACACGGTCAATTCCATGACATGCTGTTTTCTTTCCCTAGACCCTGGAAACTGCTGGCTACGTGAAGAGCGTGTTAGTAAGTACCAATCAGTGTCTCTGTCCTTACTCCTACTCCCCTTGGCCTGTGTGTGTGCATGGCCCCATTCTGTGCTGCTGCTTCCTTATAGCCTAGACAGAGTGGCTGCAGCAGTCCTGGGTGGACATTGTTACCACAGTCCCCCCTGACCAAGGCTTTACAGTAGTGATGGAAAGCCTGTGGCTGGGGTCAGACAGGAGCCAGGAAAAGCGGCAGGTGCCCAGATGAAACAGTGCAGCTCTGATGATTATTCTGTTTACTTCCTAAAGCCCACGGTCAGGTGGCTGCCCATTCACCCACCAGAGGGTTGCTCCTGGCAGCATGGATAGGTGGTCTTGGCCTGGCTGAATCACTCTTGTCACTGTGAAAATGCAGGGTAGTTAGTTTCCCCGCAGCAAAGCAGGCACTGGCCTCTTGTAGTGTCAGGAGTTGCGTCACCACAAGGGAGGACACCATTTCTACAGAGCGGGAGCAGCCTGGGCCATCTGTCCTCCTCCAATGTCTAGTTCTTCCCATTTCCCTCCAAGCTGAAGGGGAGCCCATGGGCGACTGAGGGCAGTGAGCTTGGAGTCGACCTACACGGGGGCTCACTCACTTTGGTGGAGAAGAGCCACCCCCGGCTCTGTGCACTTAAGATCACAGCAAAATCCCACCAGGCCTGAGGCCACCTTCTGCATCAGTCCATGTGGTAACATGGAAACATTAAGAGTGCATTTGAAACCAGTGGAGCTGTTCGACTACTTGAAAAACCTTTCCCACTGGTTTCTGCAGGAACGTGACAAGCTGTTAAGATACCGGAAACAAAGAAAGAAAATGGCAAAACTCCCCAAGGTAAGGAGGAAATGTCAGTGCGCAGTGAATGTACAGTGGGAGTTTGTAACAGGGGTGAGTAATCTTCCTTTGCAGATGAACAGAAAATAATTCTATTACTTCTAAAAATTGTTACTCTGAAATAACCAAAATAGGACTCAAAGTAAACGGTCCGTTTATGATTTTAAGTTTTGTCAACTGAGATCAGAACAAAGAACAATTGTTTATTTGAGGCTTATTGGGGCTTCAGTCTGAGGGACACCAAATTCAAGCAATCTTGAAAATGTGCTCTAAGGTTTTACAACTTTTACAAATAACAGGTAAGCTTGCCTTCATAGCTCAGACTGTTATGTCACTCATCTGTTGGGAATTCTGAGTTTAGACAAAGTTGGCTAAGGGGGGGGCGGTGCCTGTCACAGCCTCCATCTCTGGGCATGTGGGGGAAGCAGTTGGGGGTTCCACAGCTGTGATGAAGATTGGTGAATCTGGTTCTAGAAGTTGCACTCTGGCCAGTTCACGAGGTTAGTATGTATAGACAGCTCAACAGTCCAGCTGTGGCCACACCTGGACTCCCCACCCTACATTCAGAGCCCCAAACCAGCACTGTCACACTTGGATTTCCTCCTTGACAGTGTAAAAGCCCAGCCTCTTTTCTTTTAATTCCCGTGGACTCACAGGAACGAAAATAGTATTAATAAGAAGGAAGAAGAGCAGGGAGCTACAGGACACCAGTGTCCTCTGTCCTATGTAGGACCTTGAATTCCATGTCTGTGAGGGGTTCATAGCTCCAAGGACAGCCAGCCTGCCACCTGGCACAGCCTGGGGTCGTTAGTCCTGACTTGGCTCCACACCCCACAGGTCTGGTCCACCATCAAACTGTTCCTGACCCTCTGTGAAGGCTGCAGCAGCCTGTGTCCATGGTCCCCACACAGGTCCAATATGAGCCCCACATGCAGACCTGTGTCCCTGGGAAATTTGAAGACCTAGGAGACTTTCTCTGGGGTACCATCCTTTTTGATAAGCCTATGATTTTTATTTAGGAAGCTTTTGGAGACAATCCCAAAGGACTGCTGTGTCTCCTGTTTTCTGCATGGTGCATGAGTGTGGTTTTCAAACACTCCGCAGGGCTCAGGCACAGACTGTGGTTTGTCTGGCCCTTAGAAAGGCTGGCAGGAGAGGACGAGGCTTCACGGGTGTTTGGAACTTTCCTGAAGGCACCATTGAATAAAGGCGCCTAGGACAAGAAATCTAGAGTTGAGCTGCCGAGGTCTCTAGCTTGTGGTGGGCACTGACAAGCGAGATCTGAAACATAAAAGAGCTGAACCTGGGGCCACAGGAGGAGGCCAGGCCACTGGTATGGTTGAAGTTGGATAATCAAACAAGATTTTGATTATCAAACAAAATTTCAAATTTTGTTTGAAATTTGGTGAAAGAGCCTCAAGTTTGTGATTATTCCATTTGCCTACTTTTTGGATATTTCTGTAGAGAAGCCTAGGAAAAGGCTGGGGTATAGGGAAGGCCTTTCTCAAAGAGGTCAGGGCTCAACTCAGTGAGGTCAGATGGTCAGTCAGCTGGAGCAGTAGGTGACAGTCAGCATGGGGGAGAACAGTTTAGAGCCTTGTATGGCTGGATAACAGAAGATGCAGGTGCCTGGGAAGAATGTGGGAAAGAGAGACCAGTAACGGTGCTCTTGGGACCCAGGAGGGAGCTTCCCTGGAAGGTTCTGCAGGAGGGTCTAGCAGAGAGACAATGACCCCCAATGGCCAATTGCTGATTCAGAGTCAACCAAGGAAGGAAGGAAGGAAGGGACCCAAGTGTGATGGAGAGAGGATGACCAGCCTTTGGATTTTGTAATGTTTCTAAAACCTAAATTATGAAACCTAAGATTTTTGAAGGCAGGTGTGAGGGAAGCTTGGGGGTCCCTGAAGGCAGAACCTCTCAAACTAGTTGGTGGGGGACCCATTTTGTTTGTCATCTAATCTGTCGAGGACTGATATTTATAAAAACACAACAGAAATGTGTGATTGTAAAGTGAGCAGGGTGGGCTCACTGTCAGCCCTGGGTTAGCTCAGTGTGTAAGAAGGTCAACTCCACTTATCCACAAGATTGCCTGGTGGCCAGGCCACTTTCTACCCTGCCCTCCCCCAGCCCTGCTCCATAACACTAAGTTGCTCACATGCAGGCCACCATCTTAGCCTGTGAGAGGACAGCCCTAGCTGCAACCCCAGGGGCAGTTAGCACACAGACAGTTGGCAGGTGCATTTTGGGTGGGGCCATGCTGTGTGAAGACAGTTTCTCAGCCATTGCTCCCATGGAGCAACATGAAGAGGAGGCAGGAAAAGGCCGAGGGCTGTTGGCCAAGCTGACCGGGTTTGCATTAACACATTGCATTTTGGCCAGAAGCCTGTTGTCGTGGAGACCTTCTTTGGGTATGACGAAGAAGCTTCCCTGGAATCCGATGGTTCTTCCATCTCTTATCAAACTGACAGGACAGACCAGACCCCATGCACCCCAGATGACGACCTGGAGGAGGTAACTTGGGTATCCCACAGTAGTTTTGGGACTTTTGGCCTCTGGGGGACATCAAGGCAGTGTAGACTATGAGGCAGGGTGGAGATCCCCTGTGAACCCTGCTCCTTAGTAGACCCCCACTAGCCAGCCAACCCAGTACTCCTCACTTTTGCATGGTAAGAAATGCCTCTGCATTGCTTGGCCATGTGGGCGCTTCCAATGCCCGGTCACACTCGCTCCCCAGCATGGAGCTTAAACCCGTTTGCATAAAGGTATGGGGTACTCTCCACCCTCCTCAAGAAAGGGTGGTCCCATGTCAGGGGCACATCAGGACCTCTGGGACTTTCAGAGGAACTTTGGTAAAAACACTAGGTGTTCCTACCTTCCACCCTCATGTCCAGTAGCCATCTCAGCCCCCAGAGGAGGGGCCAGGGTTTGGCAGTGTGGGGACTAGTCTGGCTGACCCAGACCTGTGGCTGTGGACAGAGAATGACAGGCAGTTCATGGCCTTGGCCAGGCCCTGGGGTGAAGTTACACATGGAGCTTTCCTGGCAGACATGGGGAAATGGCCCGAAAGCCATGGACCTGATCAGAAATCGAAGACGTCATAGGACAGACACTGCTAGCAAGCCTCAGGAAGTGGGCAGAGGCAGTGGAGGTGGGGCCAGGCAGGGTTTCTGGGCTTGATCACTCCTGAACATGGCATCCTCACAACTCCAGGGTCCAGTGGACTCTTTCAAGGCAGCAGCAGACCCATCTGCTCCTGCCTTCTGGACGGGGCCGCAGGTGTCCTCACAGCTAGATGGACCCATCCTTGGGGTGAGCCTGTAGCAGTGAGCCTGAGATGGACAGGCCTGAGGCAAATGGACCTAGGATCAAGTACCTGGCCTAGGTCCCTGTGCTCCTTGCAGAAAGCCCAGCTCCCTCCCCGGTCAGCAGTGGAGAGTCTACTTGGTCAGGACAGCCTTGCTGGCAAATAGGAGCCCCAGCAAGCCCCTGGCCACTGGTGCACCTGGATCTCATCATGGCCAACTCAGCCATCCATCCCAGGGATTCAGGGGTCACCTCTAGAGAAACCTCTCTCTAAACAGTGCTGAGTGCCCAGTAGTTGCCCCTCCCTGCATGCTGCAGAGTGTTCCCTCCTCAAGCAGCTGGAAAGACCCTCCATTCGACCTCAGTGGGAAGAGTGGGAGCCCCAGCTGTTGGGGTGCTGCTGTGGTGTGGAGCTAACGCTGCATCTCTCTGTGTGCATGTGCGGCGCCCGTGTGCCTCTCCAGGGCATGGCCAAGGAGGAGACAGAGCTGAGGTTCCGGCAGCTGACCATGGAGTACCAGGCACTGCAGCGAGCCTACGCCTTGCTACAGGAGCAGGTCGGAGGGACGCTGGATGCAGAGCGAGAAGTTAAGGTCTAAATGACTTCTACTCCGCCATGTTCCGGCTCCCGCTCAGCTCCTTCCCGCTTGCCCCCTGTGGTCCTGGCAGGGACACTGCGCTTGCCCAAACTTTCTGGCTGAGCTCCTTCTCTCCTGCAGTTACTTCTGATCCTGGATGATGCTCACTGAGGCCATTAGAAACCAGTATTTGTGGAGCCTGTGGCTGGGTCATCCCTGGTCTGGGGATGGGACTAGTCTGGGTGGTGCCAACCCATATGTGGGTGAGGGTCCTGGAAGAGACACATCTGGGCTGGGGGTGGCTCGAGTGGTAGCATGCCTGTTTAGCAAGCAGGGGTTCAATCCCCAGTACGAGAAAGAGAGAGAGACAGAAGTATCTGCTGACCCTTCCCTTTGCAGGGGCTGTGGCTTGGTGCATGGGGCCTGCAGCCCCTAAGATGAAGCTACCCCTGCCCCATGGAACGCTCCTGATTGGAGGCAAGAGATGGGCGAAGGGTAGCATTCAAGCTTGGTTTTTGAACTTGCTAAGATTTTTCATTCACCCCAAAAATATTGAGCTCAAAATGCTGTGCCTTCCTTTTCCTGGTCCTCACGGAGCAGGTCCCTGGGGCCAGTGTATGCCCCTCCTCTCCACTTTCTTGGACATACCCTGGGCCACGGGCAGCATCCATCCAGGCAAGGCTGGCAGGCGGGGCTGGTGGGAGCCCTCTGCTGGCTGCTAAAGGCTGTGCTGGCACCAGGCCACATGGTTGCTGCTTCCCAGGGGCAGCTACCGTAGGAGCTGTGGCTGGCACACCAGTAGGCCGCTTCCTGGGGAAGTGAGGGATTCTCCTGAATGGGCAGCTGTGGGGTGTGGGTGCAGTTGGCTCCACACTGCCTACCTGCCCTGCAGGGCAAGGGGCATCACCATCAAGGGATTCTGCAACGTGGTTTGAAGGCTAGGTGGAGGATGTACCATTAAAAGGGGGGACTATGACAGCAGACTTCTCGTCCTCCAGCTGCCCCAGGAGGCTACTTGACTCCCTGCTGACCTGGATGGGGTCTACTCCTGCTTCCTGGGAGTCTCGCTGAGGGCACATGTTGTGAAAACCAAAAGAGAGCGCCCTTCTCATTGCTCGCAGGGGTTGGACCAGGAGGTGTTTTCCCTCCTCTGGCTTGAAAAGCAGAGATAAAAATGGAAAGGATGTTTATCTGCATAAAAGGGGACTTTTATGTGTTCCTTCTTTGGCTTTTTTTACTTAAATTTCTTTTTTGCACAACTCTCAGAGGAAGAAAAATGTTAGATATAGCCCCTGCCCAAGATCCCCCTAAGGCTAGGGACCAGAGTTCAGTGGGCCCCACCACAGGCTGCACATTCAGCCCTGTCCTCCCAAGGTGATGGACTTCAACCATTGTGCCTGGCTGTCCCCATGCTTACACCAATTTACTCGGGAAGGTACACCAGAAGAGAGCAGGTATAGCCCATGGGGTAAATGCCCATGGCGTGCACCTCACAAGAGCAAACTACATCAAGAGAGAGTAGCACCAGCCCCCTGGAAACCTGGCAGCTCCTAAGAGCAACTTTACAAACAGAGGGCTGACTTGTAATACAGGGAGCTTTTTGTCCAAAGGACAGGCTCCAAGAAAATTTCTGTTGGGTGAGGAGCACAAGATGCAGAAAAGGCAGTGAACCCGAGAGCAGCAGAGGCCCTGAGCCATGGGTGGCAGTCTTGCTGGCTTCTGAAGATCTACTCAGCCCTCAGTGTGTCCTGTGTCACCACAGAGACTCAGTCAAACCCGTCTGGCCAGCACCGACAAGGCTGAGCACACACAGGGCCCAGGCATCCTTGCCAGCTCCTTCACACCTGTAAGCAAGGGTGAAGCTCTCAGAGTAATCCACAGACATGAGATCACTTGTCTTACACAGGCTCAAAGTTCTTTCTTAGAAAGCATCCCTTTCAAAGGTCACTTCCCAATTAACAGGACCTGAGACAGAGTCCTCTGCAGCCTGCATCCCTGTGGGCATGTCTGTCTGTCCTGGCTATTAGAGAAAATTTGATGAATCCTTCTTCCCGCCCTACAGACCCGTGAGCAGTTGCAAGCAGAAGTGCAGAGAGCACAGACGCGGGTGGAGGACCTGGAGAAGGCACTGGCAGAGCAGGGGCAGGTGAGCTCCTCCAGGCACTTAGGGCCCTGTGTCCACCACCCCATTGGGGAGGGGTACTGAGAGAAGCCTGGCACTTGGGGCTGCCAAGTTTCCTCTTTAGGAGGACATGGACATAGAAAAAGAGTCATTAGCTAAAGTGTGCATCACACTGCAATGAAAGCTCTTAAAACCAGAAGGAATTCCATGGCAACCCATGAGCACAAAGAATCTACCTGACCATGGGACAGGCCCTCTGCAGGGCTTGATCACCAGTCCTCCAAGTCAGGACCAGGATTCAGGCCCTATAGCCCCACTGCAGACCCCAGAGGGAAAAGCCTCAAGCTGTTACAGCAGAAGCCATGGATTTCCTGATCCTGGGCTCACAGGCACCCATCCTTCCAGTGGAATGGGCAGCCCAAGGTGCTTTGCCAGGAGATGTCATCGCTTCCCTCTTCCCGACTACAACCACCACTTCTGGGTTCTTTGGGTCTATGGAAGCATCTGTCCCTGTGACCTTGAGCCTGCGTATCCCCTCTGAACTTCTGGACATGGCTGTGTGGGGTGGGGACAACTTGTGCGAGCTCACCCCACCAGCTCTAGTGCCTGGCCCATTGTGGTCCTCGACATGGCGGCTAGATGGACAGACAAGAGGACGCTAAAGGCAGTGACCATGCCACCTTTGCAACACCCTAGAACCCAGCACCATGGCACCTGCCAGTTTACTTGTCCTACACAGGTTTGACTGGTGCTCACTCCTGGTCCTCCAGCAATGGGCCTGTGGTGACAGTGCTCTAACAGCACCTCCTGAGTCCCTGGCAGAGCAGCGGGTGCCTTGGCCAGCTGTCACAGGAGGGGGCACTCCCAAGACTCCATTTGATGTCAAGGTGGCATCCTACATGCTCACCTCCTGGAAGAAAAGTGGCCAGGGAGGTTGGGGGCTAGAAGGGGAGGAGGATAAGAAGATGTCCTTCATCTGCAGAGTCCTGCAGACTTGACCACACCTCCTCAGGTGACTTCTCGGGGAAGACGTGTGCAATGCAGCCGGGGTCTTAGACAACCAACCCTCCTCCCACTGTGCTTTAAGTTAAATGCGAGTGGTGGAGGGTTGGGCCTGAGGGCATCAAGGAGGAGGAGGTGTGCCAAGGACATAGGACTTCCTCTCAACAGACCTTGAGGTGGGGTCAGGAGGTATCCACACGTCTTTGACAGAGCACAAACCCCACCGTCTGCCCACATGTCCTGAGTGTGAAGTGGACAGTACTCCACCCTGAGTGTCCCATTCTCCCCCACTTGCCTAAGACCCCCTGCTCTCCCACCTAGCCTGAGCCGTCCATGGCTCTGTGTCAGGGTCCCCTGCACACTATGTGCCACTGGACACCTGGCCCGAGGACCTGGGCCTGGAGTGGCATCGATGTGGTAGCCCATGATACCCTCAAGATGCTGTCCTGAAGGAGGGCTGCTTCCACAGGCTGTCTGTCCAGGAGCCGCAAAGGAGATGCTGTGCACCACAAGCTGTCATGAGGTGGCAGCTTTGTAAGCAGGGAGTTGCTGTCCTCTGCCCTGTCCTGTCACAACTTGGATGTGACTTTACAAGCAATCCTGCAGGGTATTCATATATTTGTTTCAATTCTATTTTTGAGGATATGAAGTGGATTGAGGAGAAGCAAGCACTGTATCGAAGAAATCAAGAACTTGTGGAAAAGGTACATCCCAGCCCCATGCGAGAGTCCGACCAGACTCCCCTGTGCTCGTGGGGTGCAAGGTGGCCCCTGGGCTTGGGCACAGGTTCTGAGCCTTTGTATGGCTCATTCTGGGGGAGTCTGTAGGAGTCCTGGCCTGCTGGCTCCCTTCGGCCTCTTGTCTTCCCAGGTCTGGCAGAACCCTGTGTGATGCTCTGTTGGGCTGATGGGCTCTGATGGATGGGGATGGTTAGAGAGCCGTTTGAAAGAACTGTTCTGTCTATGGCCATACCACCCTGAACACACCCTATCTTATCTGAAAGAGCTGTCCTTTCAAAACCCCTGGAACCATCCTAATGGAAGTTGTGTGGGTCAGGGGACAGAGTCTATTGCAGAGGCTGGACGTCCTCAGAGAACATTCACAGGAACCTGGGCTTTTGTTTCTCACTGAACAATTATGTTTTCCACACTCGTCCAGGGCTGCACCTGGTGGTAGCCCCAGACATGGATTCTCAGCCCCCCGGATGAGAAGAACCTCCAAGAGTGCTATTACCTCCTGCCCTTCCCCCAGCTAGGCCTTCTTTGTTGGAATCTCTTATCTGATTAAAGTGGGTCTGAAGATATGGGATACAGCCAGGCTGTCTTTATTAGTTTCTGAGCTTCTCCTCTGGGGTCACCACACCGTTCCCAAGGCTTGCACAGACAAGGAGAAGAGTGACTTACATCACTGAGCGTGTGCCTCTAACGCTCCCTGCCTGTGATTCAGCCCGTTCTATGGGCTGGACTGGAGAGGGGTTTCACAGCATTGAAGGCCTTAGGCTGTGGGTAATTTGTCAGATTACCCTGGGCAGTTTAAGACCCTCCTAAGTGGGGAGGGTAGGACTTGAGAACTGTAGGAGCAGGTGGTGTGGAATGAGGCCAAAGGTGGGGGTGGCTATGAGTTCAGAGGTAGGAAAGCCAGTGGGGGCCTCAGCTGGATTAGGAGACCCTGTCATCACCATGTGCTAGTGAGGTGCACACACATACTCGTGTGCACTTTTGCAGACACTCACTTGTAGCTTGTGCACACTCAGCTGGCATGCAAATGCCCGTGTGTGCACTTAAACCCAAGCACACTTACATGTCCACTTAAATACTGTATGCACGTACAGATGCTCACGTGAACACTTAAAGCACGTGCTCCTCACTGGCTGCAATGGGCACAGGATCACATCTTCGTCCTGCTTCAAAGCCAGCAGTGCAGTACAAGAACTGACATTGGGGAAGGATGCAGCAGTGACTGGACAGGCTCCCCATCTCACTGGGTCCCGAGCATCATAGCAGGCCCCTTGTCACCCAGGTTCAGCTCTAGGGAGACGAGTGCTGCTGCCTGCCCATGATGGCCACCCTGACCTCATGAGTTCTGGAGTGAGGTCAGAGCCTGAACTCCAAGAGCCACTGGGACACCCTTGACTGCCCCTTCCCTCCCCATCTCAACTTAGCACTATTTCTCTGGCTTTGTGGCTCCCCTGCTTACTTCACCCAGCCCCCCTACCCCTGCTGCATTTAGCCAAGGTGTGGAGGCTTACCTGAACTCAAGGGACATGAAAACAGGCTGGACTGAGTTTGAGCGTGGGGACCACATGCACCCTGTTGAGCTTCCAAGGCTAGCTCTGGGCAGGTTAGCCATTCCCACAGCCAGCTGTCTGCTGTCCAGCAAGCCAGGAATTTGACCTCACATGGCTCTAGTGAGAGAACTAGAGCCCTTCTCACCTCATCCATCTTCTGGTTTTCAGATTAAACACATGGAGATGGAGGAGGCCCGGCTGAAGCATGAGGTTCAAGACGCAAAAGACCAGAACGAGCTGCTGGAGTTCAGGATCCTGGAGCTCGAGGTAGGGTGTGGGCCACAGGTGATGCCAGAGCTGAGAGGTCCTAGAGCCCACTGGTCTCAGAACTCATGAGCCTTTGAACAGGAGCCCCAAGGCCAAGCAGGAAAAGGAAGGAGCAAGTTAGAGCAAACTCCATCTCCTAGGACAGACAAGGCAGCTGGGCAAAGTGAAACAACCTGGGGGTGGGAGCCTGGGACCCAGCATCACAAAAGGAAAACAAAAGCAAAGAAAACAAACAGAATGGCCAGAGTCTACTTCCCCACCTGCAGCCTCAGTGGCCAGGCAGTGTCCTCAGTGGCCATGGCTACATTGTGGTGGAGATGGTGGGGACAATGCCAACCGCACAGAAGTCTCAGAGTGGCCAAGGGTGCCACACAGTAACCAGGTGCCTTTCATTTGTCCACTGCTGTCCCTGGCCCAAGTCTTCTGCTGTGACCTACAGAGGAGGGAGGAATGGCAAGCATCCTTGGGGAAGGTCACACTCAGCGTGGGCAGTCATACCACTGTACTCACCTTCCATGATGAAGATAACTCAGCAGTGAGAGGAAGTGACCTGAATAGGTGTGACCTGCCAGTCACTCTCACACAGTCCCGGGCCTCCATCTCAGTCCAGCAGGAAGAAATCTACTCAGTCCAGAGTACTCCCACCCATCTCCCTGGAACAGGAGGCTATGCAGCCACTCTGTGGCCTCCTGGGCTCCTGCACGTGGCCCTGCCTGTGAGGGCCATGAGCACCACCAGCCATTGTCCTCCAGGGCTCACTGTCAGCCCCATGAGTGACTCTCCCCTGAGAGAGCCCCATGAAGCCTCTCCCCTGAGTCTTCCCCTGGGGTTCACTGACAGATGGGCAAGTGGGTCTGGGCTTGGCCCACATGGACAGGGCTTGATGGAGGCGGGACTCCATATGCCCATCTGGGGTCAGTGAACACATAGGCAGTTTTCTCAGGCAAGTCCAGGAAGGTTTCTGCCACCTGGGCCTCCGCTGGGGCTGTTTCAGAAGTGCTGTGTTGATTCCTTGTGGGTGCTCTTGGCTAGTGTTCCCCAAGTCCAGCACAGCCTTCCATGGAGGGAGGAGATGGGGAGAGAATGGCCCAGCCTTCTGCTCCCTGTCTTAGGAGAGGGAGAGGAAGTCACCTGCCATCAACTTCCACCACACACCTTTCGTGGACGGGAAGAGCCCTCTCCAGGTGTACTGCGAAGCAGAAGGCGTCACGGTAAAGCCCTTCCCTGCCACTTCCCCACAGCTGTCTGCCTGGCTACCTCTCATATGCCATCCTGTCCCTCTGTTTGTCTCCTAGGACATCCTGGTCACGGAGCTGATGAAGAAGCTGGACACCCTGGGGGATAACGCTGTAAGTGTATGTTGCTCTCCTGACTTGTGCATGCTGACCACCCCTGGCCTAGCCGTCCGTCACCCAGGGACCCCTGCAAGCCCCGCTGCAGTCCTGCCATAGGCCACCCTGCCCAAAGACCTGTCCTAAAGCCCAGAGCCCACATCTCCTCCTGTCTCAACGTTCCTGTACCCACGGGGGCCTCTGCCTGTGCACACGCTAGTCTCCAGCTAACTGTCCTTCCTGTCACACGTTCTCAGCCTCTGAAATCTCTCTCAGTCCTTCAGCTCTCCTATCCCCTCAGTGGGAATGGGGGATTTTCACTCTCAGATATCCCAAGACCTTTGGGAGTTCCACTTCCCTGGTTTGAGAGAAGCAGAATCCATATCCCCAGGTGTCATTTAAACAGTTTCAGTTTCCGTGACAAACTTCTCAAAAGAGTATTAATTACCAAATGGGCAAAGCAACTGCATTCCTTCATCCCACGTGCCATCCATCCATCCATACATCCTTGATCCTCCTTCCTCTGTCATTCACTGCACACATTCTCCACCCATTCTCCACCCATCCTCCATCCACCATCCTCACACACATCCATTCGTCAAGCATCATCCACCCATCCTCCCTCCTTCCGTCCTGTCATTCACCCCTTCATCTGTCCTCTATTCTCCGTCCATCCATCCACCCATCCTCCATTTATCTATCCATTCATCTTATACCCTTCTTCCTCTATCATTCACTCCTCCATTATCTATCCATCCATCTGCACTCCATCCTCCATTCTCTATTTTTCACCCCAATCCATCTCCCATCCATCCATCCATCCTCCATTCACCCATCCTGTCTAGCATCCATCTACCTATTCACCCACCCACCCATCCATCTTCTGCCCTCTAGCTATCTTCCATCCACCCATCCATCTACCCGTCCTCCTTCCTCTATCATTCACTCAGTTTATCCTCTATCCACCCATTCCATGCTCATTCATTCTCCCACCTCCTCTGTACAGGACCCAGTGCTGGCAGGAACCCTTACCTGCCCATCACCTGGAAAGCAGTGGAAAGAAGGGTCAGGAAAAGCGCCCCACAGGGAGGCTCTCCTAGCTGTGTCTTCCCCTTATCCAGATCTGATGACTCCATCATGGTCATAAGTGGAAGCAGCAACTCCACAACAGGGATGACTGTGGATGCAATGTATCTGGGCTCCAACCCTAAGCATCATGGGCTCCTGGGAGTTATATTGGATGCCCCCTGACTCACAGCTAGAGAAACTGAGGCCCAAGAAGGCACCTGCCTAGGGTCAGAGCTTATGTAATCAGGATGATAGTCCTGCCTGCTCCTGCTTCAGAGCTCCTCCTGGCCCTGTAGCTGTCCACTCAAGTGTGCCACTGTGTGACTGCTCTGGAGCCATACATGGCCTCTGAGGTCACTGTTACAGAGCACAGGAACAGAGGTTAGAGACTAGAGGGCACATGGCTAGGTCTAACACTGGCAGTTCCTGCCAATGGACTGAGGGGTGTCCCTTCAGGCCTGACTGTACAGTTGCTTCAGGGCAAGTTTTACAATGTACCTGGTGATCCAAGCACCACACTCCATAGAGCCTGCACCTGCAGGTCCCTTCCTGAAGCACAAAGGGGCCCAACTTGTGGGGAGGCGGGTGGCTGTCACCTTCACAGCCAGGAGCTTGCTAGTGCCATGGCTGCTGCCATGGGGTACCTGAAAACCAGAGCATCTCCCAACTGCCTCAGTGTCCTCAGGAGCTGAGGCCCAGAGGCCAATGCAGCATCTGGGCTGCCACACCCAAGCTGCAGGGGTGGGTCCCCTGGGGAAAGAAGAGCCAAGGCTTAGGTGCTGTGCAGAGGGCACTCTTTCAAGGCTCAAGCATGAGGATGGAACCACTAAGGGTTCCATGTGCCAGGTGGCACATCAAGAGGGACACTGAGGGCCCTGCAGCCTGTGCTGACCACATCTGAGTTTTGATCTCATTTCACGGAGTTCGGGTAGATTTCTTCCATCCCCAGAAGCAATTGCTTGACCTCTTCTACCCATCACCCTATGCACTGAGGCATCAGAGGTAAAGGCCGCCAGCTTCACAGCAGGAGGGCTGAAGAGCACTGGGCCTAGTGGATGAGGCTTCTGCCACCCCTGTCCCAGGGTACAGCCACCTGAGGGCAGAGCCACCCTTGGTGCCTGCAGCAATGGCCACCAGCTCTGACTTTGGAGGTGGGGGGATGGCAAGAGGCACCTGTCCATAGGGAAAAAATGGCAGGGACAGGTTTTCTGAGCAACCTGGTTTCAGATCAGGGAAGTTCTGGGGGTGTAGCAAGCACTTCAGTCTGTGCTCCTCATGCCTCACCACCCCCCCCATCCTGGTGTCCCGCAAATTGGCACCAGGCAGCCAGATCCCAATGTGTGGGAGTCAGGGTCCAAGCGTGCAAGTACCCTCATCATCAGGGGGGGTTCATTTTGCTCCAAAACCAGACTTACCCTGCCCAGAAAGACCACCAGGGGTCTGTTGGGACAAAGCATGAATAAAACATGCAAAAAAAAGGCAAAGAATACCAGGGAATAGAACAATTTCAAGGCACTTATATTTGATCTTCCCTGTGGCTTTAAACAAAGACAGGGACAGGGACAGGACAGCAAAGGAGAGCATTTGTCTCTGAGATACAGTCAAAGCTGCCTGCTGGCCGAGTCCCTCACTGTTCCACTTAGACCTTCGAGGTTCCAGTAGAGAGAGGATGAAGTAGACAGTGCCTGGAATGGACAAGGTCAAGGCCAGAGGGTATCAGAGGTCCAGAGAGGGCATTTTAGCTGTAGCCCCAGCCCCTCTTGTGTCCGTCCATCTTCACTCCCCCCATACTGAAAGGTGCTGCCTCTGACTATACCTGTGTTCTGCTTTTGGGTGCAGAATCTGACCAATGAGGAGCAAGTGGTCGTCATACAAGCCAGGACAGTCCTGACCTTGGCTGAAAAGGTAACAGGGACCAAGCAGACAATGGGAAGAAGGCTGGGCTCAGCCCAGAGAAAATACAATTCCTGGGAGCAGGGATTATGGGACTTCTCTTGTCTGCTGGGGAAAACAGACACACACAGGTCAAGCCAACCCACCCTGCACCTCTGTAAAGAGCAGATTCAGCCAGACATTGCCCCAGCTTCCTCCCAGGGGAGGGAAACTGTGTGAAATCTGTAAAACCATCACCATTCCCTATTAGACCAGCTGAACCCCTCTCGGGGCACCACCCAACCTGCTCCTGGTCCTGCCCCAGCCCAATCTTACCTGGCGGGCTGTTATCAGTGCACCTCCTCAGACCTCCAGCAGCAGGGGGTGTTCCTGGCAAAGAGAAGTTTGCGGAGTCAGTCTACCCACCTCTCCTGGCAGAGATGTCTGCTCCTGCTGCACCCCAAACCAACAACTGCCTCTCCTGGGAGAGATGCGGGAAGGAGATGTCCTAGACACCTGGACACCTGGCCGCGCTGCCCACCCAGCCCCGTCTCCCTCCCCGACCCAGGCCTCCCTTGATCCTCTCCCAGGTTTTCTCTAAGGAACCAGGGCGGGGCGGGGGTGAGGGAAGATGGCACCAGTGCCTGTGTAGGTGACCCTAGAGCTCACTATTACCTGTTCACTCTCTCTCTGCCCAGTGGCTCCAGCGGATTGAAGAGACCGAGTGTGCCCTGCAGCGGAAGATGGTAGATCTGGAGAGTGAGAAGGTTGGTGGTGTCTCCCTGCCTCTTGCCACTGTCATTACTGGATCTGGACACCTGAGTCTGGGATCCCGACTTCTTGTGTTTCAGGAGTTGTTCAGTAAACAGAAGGGCTACCTGGATGAGGAGCTGGACTACAGGAAGCAGGCCTTGGACCAAGCTCACAAGGTAAGAGAAATGAGGCCAGGGATTTGCTCCCTCACCCAGTGGGTGTTGGGGACCTGTACAGACCTAGCCCCACAGAGCCCTGCCAGGAAGTGCCAAGACTCACTGGGTCTTACTCTCTGCCTTTCTTCTCCCCTCCACCTGAGGGCTCCCAATCTGAGTTCTGAGGATGTTTTATTACCCCATCAACAAACCAAGGCCTAAGTGGATATGTGAAAATAGAATTCATTGGAAAGTAGAGAGTTTGCAAATTAGTGCATTGCTGAAAGTTCCTAAGTGACATTGTTCTACCGGGACCCTGCTTTTGCTCATCCACCACTTGGAGAAATGCAAGTTTTACCTGTGCAGTGAGACTGGTTGCCCCTTGGGAAACCAGTGCTCCTGCTGATAAACCTAAAGGTAACGTCCCAATTTGGGGCAAATACTGAGAACCCAGAGGTGCTTTGTGAACACCTATATTAGCCTGTGTTCTGTTGCTGTAACAAAACATTAGAGGACCAGTAATGTATAAAGAAAAGAAGTTAATTAACTCAACATTTGGGAGGCTGAAAGTCCAGGAAGGGGTGGCCCCCTCTGCTGGGCGCTGCTGAGGGCCTCTGACTGCAAACCAACATGGTGGCATGGTGGAGTGTATGGGAGAGAAGTCACATGGTAAGACAGGAAGCCAGAGGGATCCAGGGGCCAACCTTGCTGTTTTTATAACACTTTCCCTGTCTCAGGAACTCACCTGAGTTCTGTGGGAGCTACATTAATTCCTCCCAACACAGCACCCCAGTGACCTCAACACCTCCCCACACTAGGCCCACCTCTTTGTGGTTCCACCACCTCAACACCATCATGCTAGGAACCAAATGTCCAACACATGGACTGCCCCCTTCTCCAGGGACACTCAAACCACATCCAAACCCTACAACACTTTTAGTGACACCATGCACCATTTCTCACTGATGTCAGCTTGGGAACATGAAAAGGGATTCCATTTGAACTTCTGTCAGCCTTCTGTTTCGGGAGGTGACAGAACTCAAATCAGCATTGCATCAAGTCCTAGAATTGGTGTGACCAAGGCACACAGCGCTCAGCTGGAGAGACTTCCCAGAGGAATAGAAGCACACACTTCCTGTCCAGCAGTTAGTTGCACCTATGTGTTAATGGCACCTTCTAGTGTGTGCCTCTGCCTCCCCCAACGGTGAAATCCTTAAAGGTAGAGAGCGTGCCATGTCACTCACTCAGGAAGAGCATCCAGTGGCCCGAGGAGTGACTGAAAGGAAGTGAGGAGGTTGGAGCCTGAAGCGCTGAGATTAACCTACTCAACTATGTGCCAGCCAGGAGACCTGAAGCCAGTGACTTCTTCCTTGTGTGAAATAGAGATGCCTCCTGGAACTGTTAGGAGAATCAAAGACTGATTCCAGCACAGAAACACAGCCAGAATCCTACATGATGCTAGGGCCTCCATGTGGCTTCTGCCTACTTTCTGCTCCTTTCTGAGGAGCTGAGGACATCCCTCAGCTGCTATGGCTGCCTGCCCCCTGGCAGAAGGTGTGGTATGCTATGGTTGGGATGAGTCTAAGGTCCTTCTAGGCTGAAAACTAGGTTTCTGAACTAGGTTCCCCTGTTAGGAGCTGCCTGGCATCCCTGATTTGAGCCTCAGTCCTTTTCCAGTTCAGTCACCATCACACCCCTGTGACTGCACTTGTGTCCCCACTGGACTCCCTGCCACATGAGGACACTACCAGGGAGTGTTCAGTCCCCGGTGTGATGGACAGACAAGTATTGCCACCAAGACATTCGCCTGGGCACCCAGCCCAGCAGGCAGGGCCCCAATCCTCATGTCTATGAGGGGCCCTGTTCAGCCATTGGAGCACAGGAGGGCTGGGAGGTATGAAAATGCTTGTTCCCAGGGCCCAGTTCAACCTGGGAGCTCTCAGAATAGTGATGGTGATGATGTGCTGGTGATGGTGACGATGGTGATGGTGGTGACGATGGTGATGGTGGTAATGGAGGTGATGAAGGTGGTGGTGATGGCGGTGATTGTAGCGGTGGTGGTGATGATGGTGACAGTGATGGTGATGATGACTGCCATTTTGTGGTGTGATCCTAGTTTTGCTGCCCGCTGTTTAGGCATGTCTGTCTTCACTGTACGACTAGCCTTTGCTATACTTTGTCTGACATGCTTGGGGGAAGCCCAGGATAATCCCAGGGTAAGCTTAGGTGAGCAGCCGTCTGTGGGTCCCTGGGACTTTCCTATACCACTGCTCCTTGAGTTTGCAGGAGGACGTCTGTATGTCAGATGGTGATGACATCTGCTTCAGGGTCACTGCTAGTGCAGATCGTGTCGCTGCAGGCGTGGCTGAGGCAGGCTGTGTGGCCATGTGGTCTCACTGAAGGCAGAGATGGTGATCTCATGACCGGGTAGTATCCTTGTCTGTAGAGAAGGTCCTAACGAAAGTGTCCACAAGCAGGTGTGTGCGGCACCTCTGTGATGTTAATTCTAATACTATACTCAACCACACTCATTTTGAAAGGCTGAGCCCAGGGGCTGGGGGATGGCCCAGTGGTTAGCGCTTGTCTAGCATGCCTGAGGCTCTGGATCCCATCACCAGCATCCATAAATGAAAAAATAACAAAGGCGTGGGTTCCTGGGCAGCTAAGCCCTTTTCCTTTGCGAAGTAGCTGCTGACGCTGCAGAGTGAGCACATTGTGACAGCTGGGACAGCTTATATTGTGGCTAGTCTGGAACTATACAATGTGGCAGAGGCCCAAAGGGTTTTTTTTCCCCCATTTCCTAAAATTTCTACTAATCCAAAAGGAGTTTCATGGTCATTTGGACTAAAGAGAGGAGAGCATCCTTTTCTGACTATGTTATGTTTCGGAGGGAAGAAAGGGCAGAAAGGCCCATCAAAATGAGAGTTTTGATGAGAATTTTGTTTTTCCAAAGATTGTGTCAAAATTTTTTCTAAAGAGAAAGTGTAAAAGTACTCCCAAGTCTGGTGTGGTGGCACACATCTGTAGTACCACATACTCAAAAAGAAAGACAACTACTGCTGACCAAGTTGGCACCCTGGGGTTTAGAAAAAATGTGATGGGCTGGACATGGTGGCTGAAGTCTATAATCCCAGCTACATGGGAGGCAGAGATTGGGAGGATTGCAGTTCAAGGCCAGCCCAGGCAAAAAGTTTGTAGACCCCATTTCAACCAATGGCTGAGTACAGGGGCACATGCCTGTCATTCCAGCTACATGGGGAAGTATAAATAAGAAGACTGTAGTCCAGGCCAGCCCAGATATAAAGCAAGACCCTATCTCAAAAATAACCATCACAAGAAAGGGCTGGGGGAGTGGCTCAAGTGGTAGAACATCGGCCAAGCAAGTGCAAGGCCCTGAGTTCAAATCCCACTATTGCCAAAAAGAAAAAAGACAGCTGTGTGACAGCTACTGAGTGTAACAAAGGCATCACCTCCTTCCTTCTGTGGAGGTCTTAGTCCTAAATTGGATTTTTGGAAAGAGGAAGGGGTGCCCTGGCTGAGATCTTTCCTGTCTTGTGGCTGTGATCTCAGGACCCACTCCAAGCCATGTCGCCTGTACTTCCAACTGTGACCTAGCACTGGGCCCCACCATTCAGAGCTCAGGCCTTCTCAGTCCTCTGCACCAGCCTGGACCAGTCCTTGCAGGCACTCTACCTAGTCAGCTCCTCTTCTTCTAGGGTCTTCTGCTGGATTAGGGAAGTGGGTCTGTGGATCTCCAGGTGCTTCCCTGAGAACCCCCAGGCACACTGTGGTCCCCCAAGTATTGTGCACCTCCTCCCCAGGTGGAAGGTGATTTGTCTCCCAGTTGGATTTCCTGCAAGAGGGGGTTGTTTAGCCTGGAGGAGGGAAGGCCCACTCCAAGGGAAGGGAGGACTAATGGGTCTCCCCTTGGCCCCCAGCACATCCTGGAGCTGGAGGCCATGCTTTATGATGCCCTGCAGCAGGAGGGTGGGGCCAAAGTGGCTGAACTGCTGTCGGAGGAGGAGCGTGAGAAGCTCAAGGTAGCTGTGGAGCAGTGGAAGCGCCAGGTCCTCAGTGAGCTGCGTGAGCGGGATGCACAGATCCTGCGGGAGCGGATGGAGCTGCTGCAACTGGCACAACAGGTGCTGGGAGGGAGGTGGAGCAGGGAGGGCTGGGCGGAAAGAGGGCCAGGTGGGCTTCCGAAGGCCTAGCCTTTCAATGGGCATACCTCCAGTGGCCACATCGCCAATGGCCATGCCTCTGTATGGCCAGTCCTTCTCTCAGCTCTCTTGCCAGACTGTCTGCCCCCTGCGACCACCACCACCACCACCACCACCATCCTCCTGGCTTCTAGGTTGTATTGCTGAGGGCTTTGGGCAGCAGTTCCCCCCATGTAGAACCTTTCCAGGTCTCCTCCCATGACACAAATCCTTGATGGTAAGGGCATTGTCTAGGGACAGAGCTGATGGGCCCAGACCCATTGGGCCTGCTTATTTCTAAAGGAAGGTGAGGAACCCTCGCAGGCTGGACAGCTTTGGTGTTTGTGACACCCCTCCACATGTGCCAGGTTTCCTGGAAGTGGCTTTTAGGGCTGTGTCCCATGCTCAAGCCCCCTAAGGGGAAAAGGCTCAGACTGCAGTTTCAGATAAGATTACGGTGAACACTGTATAGTTCACTGTGAGTTATCAGGCAAACCTCGGACAGCGGGCCTTGAGATTCTAGTACACACACTGCTAACCCCTCAGCTTGTTAGCCCACCCCCAAAGCCCTGTGTGGTGTCCAGGGTGGTTGGAGTGAGGAGGCCAGCAGAAGCCCACTTGCTCAGCCAGATGGGCTATGGACAGCACTCAGTTGCTTCCAGGGCCCTCAGAAGGAAGGTTCTCTTGTGGTTGGGCTGTGACTTCTGGCTGCCCTTTACTCTGCTGTAATGACTTTAGGAAGGACAGTGGCTATTTCCTTGCAGTTCCCTGAGTGTCTAACATTAGGATTTCTGACTCAAAAGAGTCAGAAGGACACTATTCCCACCGCAGAGGTGTGGCTCTGGGAAAGGCTTCCACTGTCTTTGGAAGGAAGCAGCGACCTGGAGAGAGCTGTGTGCCCCTTGCCAGCCACAGGCCATGAGGCTGGACCAGCATGCCGGTGCTCTGTGCTATTTGTCCACCAAGTAAATGAGGGAAAATCTTAAAGACTTTTTTTGGTTGGTTTTCCAAATATTCTGATTATCGAAGACTTTCTTCTTTTTAACATCACAGAGAATTAAAGAGCTAGAAGAAAGAATAGAAACTCAGAAGAGACAAATAAAGGAACTGGAGGAAAAGGTAAACAAATAGTGTTTGGGGCTTGTTTTGTTAGTGAAGCTTATCAATAAAAGAGCACAGATAACTCCCACCCGAAGCCACCCAGCACTTGGCTCTGGGGAGTAAATAGACTTGTCCTGGATGCATCGCCATGAGGCTACCTTCCTGGAGCAGGGTGGGTTGAGCAGAAAGAGGTGGAGCTGTAGGGCACTGGGCCAGAGCCAGGAGCCCCTCCCATGACCCAGTCCTGTGGTCTTGCTTCACCTCAGTTTCCCATCTGGATCCATGTATGTTGGACCCTTTCAATGCATATGCCCTGGGTAGTGCAGACACATTTAACCCTCCAAGAGCACCAAGCATGCTGTTCTGAAAAGCAAGAGCAAGGTCCTGAAAGACTGGCTGGGGTCCTGAGAGCCACCATTGGGACAGTGGAGACCTCTCCCTTAGGCCTTACTGCACTGAAGTACGTGTGCTCAGGGTTCCCCCTCTGGATTCCTGACTGCAGGGCTGGGGTCACAGGCGTCTATCCCTCCTGATGACAGACTTGGTACTCGCTAGGCCAAAGTGAAGTGTACATGCCCGGAGAACCCTGACTCCCGCAGGACCAGTGTCCTTTCAGGGCAGCTCTTTCTCCTGTGAGATTTGGGGTTAGTTCAGGGGTTTGTGGGGTCAGAGTTTTTCTCAGTCTTGTGATTGGTCCTGCCTGTGGGGCAGGTCTCATCAAAGTCAGTGAGTAAAGAGATCAGTGGGACCCACCTACTTGTCTCGTCCCTTCCAGAGACAGCAGGAGGTAGCATTTGGACAGGACCTGGTCAGCACGTTAGCCAGTCCTAGGAAGAGCCAGCTGTGCTCTCCCTGCCCTCTAGGAGAGGCAGTCCATCAGAAAGCGGTCCCCTTACAGCTGGCCGCTGCTCCTTCCCACTGCCCACCCCAGCCCTGCCCCACCCCTCCTCAGCGATGACATAAACTATCTACTGGGCACCGTGCTGCCACATATCCAGCAATCTTCGTGTAAATACACAAATCCACCGTGAGGAACAAAACCTAGAGCCAAGCAGGGGACAACCTGAGAAATGAGGTCCCAGAGGAATTCCCACAGGCCATCCAAACACGTGGCAAAGTGTGCCAGGCCCCACGAGGCTGGGAGGCGACACAGTCTTAGGGCTCAAACCTTGAAGAGGTCAAAGCCTCCCCCAAGCTGAGTGTCTGTTTCATTTTGCACCTGAACCTGAGGTCACTTGCTTGTATTAAACATTAGAGTGATTTTAGGTTAGGAGTTTATTTTTGTCAGTTTAGCTAAGGTAGGGCTTTATTTCTAGGCAATCCTGGTGCCACCAAGTTTTCTCTCTCTGGTGTCCAGCTTGCCCTGACACCACCCCAAATAATGCTTCAGGTGTCAAACCTGTCCAGGGAGTGGATACAGTGTTTGGAGGGGACTGCAACCCATATCGTCAGAGCGCTATCTCCTGGCACCTGGGAAGCCCTTCCTCAAGGTTGTTCTTGTCTCTTTAGCCTGGAAGCACTCTCCCCACAGACGCCTGACCCCGAGAGGCTCAGCTCACCGTGCTGGCTGTGGGGCCCCAACGGCACCCACAGCCCTCTCAGGACAGTGCTTAATCCCTGACTGTCTCTCAGGGTAGCAGCACTGTCACCCCAGGCCCAGGACTGTCACAGCATCTCTCGCACATGTCCTGACCGCCTGCTTCTCCCTAGCCAGCCACTCTGTCTGTAATCTTATGTCATTTCTTGCCAGAGACACTACAAACTCTTTTTTCTTTCTCTTTCCTTCCGTTTTCCCATCCTCCCCTTTGCTTTTCAGTTTTTATTTTTGTTCTTGTTTTTCTCCCTAGCTTTCATTCTTTGGTCATAGCTGGTCTTGGCACCCTGACCTGGTGAGTACATCACAGGCTGGGGTTTCCTGTGAGGGTCCCACTCTTCTTTTGGGGAGATCATGGGGGCACTTGTGGGCTGGCAGCTCCCTGGGGCTTCCAGAGGGCTGAATAAAACCACAGCACCCTTCAGAGACCAGGAGCCCCTCCCTAGGGTTTGGACTCAGAGAAGCTTCTGCTCTCTGCCCCACTGGGGGCACAGGGCAAGAGAATTACATGCCTGCTTCTAGCAGAACAGGAAGGTTGCTTTGTGATTTTCCTTTGTCCTCTGGGAGTCCCCCAGCACCAGTGTGGTCCTGTCCCCACACACTGGGCTCTCCCACAGTCACTGAATACACTAACACACAGGGCCTCTGCTCTGCCCACAGACCAAAGCCACAAGCTGTGCTTGGTCACTACCTTCCCGTCCATGTGTGACAAAATGGGTCCTTGGACTCACCCTCCATAGGGGCCCTTCCTGGGGAGCAGCGGTCACCTCCCAGGCAGCCCCTGTCCCTCTAACTCCTGTGCTCTGTGTCTGTTTTCTTCTAGCCCCTGGCAGAGTCAGACTGCTGTCCTCCAGTGGAACCAGAGAGCAGTGGGTGCCAGCAACAAAACCGAATGTTGCACCTCTTCCTCCCTGAAGGCCTGAGGAGCTGTGGGCTCTGTGCACATGCCCGGTGGAGGTCGAGGGGAAGGGGTGTTTTGGGCATCCCACTGTCCAATCAGGATGAGCCACAACTGGAACTGCTTTTGCTAACTGGCGCTTCTCTGGGAGAGACCTGGCCTTGGCTGCTGGACCCTGGGATCCCTCCTCCTGGACAGCAGCCTCCATCCCGATCATGGGGATGAGTGACGTTCCCTGCTGTGCAGGGGTGAGTGCTGCTCCTATGCTGGAGCCCTGGGACCACGCCTCTTGTTCCCAAGCAACTGTCAACACGCCTGGAAGAAGAGCTTCAGAAACAACACAGGCTTGCCCCAACGACAAGATGAACGCTGTGACCCCAGTGGTGACCTTCTTTGGGGGACTTGGGAGGGTTATGGGGGATGTCCCCTGTGACACCGTGGGTGCACACATGACACCGTGACTCACTCATAGGGGTCCTGAGTACTCACAGACAAATCCCTCACCTACCCTTGTTCTGTTATATTGTCATCTCCGTGGGGACAGATGAGAGTCATGGCCCCACTGGGGCATAAAGGCCAAAATCCCAACCCAAACTACTGTCCTGGAGCACAATAATGATGACCAGAGGAGGGATGGGAAGTGTGGTCAGGGATGTGAGATGAGTGTGCAGAACCCTGGGAAAGGAACCCCCACCTCAGAGAACATTGGCACAGGAGCAGCAAGGCCCCAGAAATCATGGCCACCTGGCCTGGAAGCCACTCAGCAGGCGGGCCAAACCTGAGAGCTGCAGACGGCCAAAAAATGGCCCTGTCTAGAGCCTTTGCACACGAGGAGCAGGGCCCAGGTGAGAAGAAGAGTAGAGCCTGTGGTTCTACGGATGTAAGAAAATGCAAGAAGGGAGCCCAAGTCCAGTGGCCTGCAGGTAGGTGACGATTCTCTCTGTTGGGGATGGCATTACATTCTTCCCAGTTTGGTGGCCCTTGTGCAGACTGATTCTGTTTTGCTGAATGTGCCCTTCAAGGTATGAATTGGGGAGGTGCTGGCTTCTGCATCTCTACCTCTGTTTTTTTGTGGGGGCACTGGAGTTTGAACTCAGGGCCTCACGCTACTAGGCAGGCACTATACCACTCGAGCCACCTTGCCAGCCCTGCATCTCCACCTCTAGATTCAGCCTGCACACATGCAACTCCCTCCTCATGCTCACCTGAACACCCAGGCACGTGTGAGCGTCCTCTGTGTGCTCCATGGCAGCCTCATTTCCACGCTGGGCCTGGCTATTTCTGCCAGGCTGCTGCAGCCCCATTCTGCTGCTAGCAGAACCTCCAACATGGGAGACATTCTACTTCCTTTCCTGGAGTGGCCTCCACCTGTGTCCTCACCCCACACTCAGCAGGGACTCCCCTGTACCCTGGGTACCCCTTGTGTTCCCACCAGACAGGAAGCCCTCCCTTGAGGTAATAGGGCTCCATCCGGCTGCATTCCCACTCTGCCAAGTTTAGAAATGCTACGATATAGTGAAGCAATGGTTTTTCCTTCCACTGTGCGCAAAATATGCATTTTAAATGCAGATTCACAGACAAAATGGCCTCCCTGGTCCCTAGCGCGAAGTGGGGAACTCAGTCTCCTCTAGCCCTGCCAGGGCCCGTGTGGCAAGAATGTGACTGAGAACAGACTTCCTGTAGACTCCTTGAGGCTTTCATCCTTTGGGTTTGGCTGATGGGCAGACCTCTGCCTGGGAGGGGGTGTGTCTCCCCAGATTCGGGTCCCCAGAGACCTGCTGCGTCAGATGTCAAGTCCCCTTAAGGAAGGGGCCCCCGCTTTGATGGGCAGCTGAGGTGGCTTGGCTGGAAGTCGGGCTCTGCAGTCATGACCTGCTCAGGAGCTGGCAGCAGCCTCCAGGGCATGGTGGTGAGGGCGCCTTTCCTGCCACTAACAGGCCAGGGCCTGGAGTTTGCCATGGAGCATGGTTGGGAGCCACTGCTGGGGTTCGGGGTGGGGGATCTGGGATACTCAGAGGCAGGGTCAGGAGCTGTGGGCAAGGAGCACCAAGGGAGCTGGTACACGCTCTGGCGTGGGGGAAACCGGCTCTCTTTCCACCTACGGGAAAAGAGGGATGGCCAGAGCAGTGGTGGGACTTGGGCTGAGCTTGCAGAACCACGGGGAAGGAGCCTGACCTCAGAGAATGCAGACGCAGCGGCGAGGCTCCCAGCCCCCACACCGAAGCACATCCTCCGGTGCACACGTCCCTCCTGCGCACGCAAGTGAGAATCCACGCCACTTGCCAGACTGGGCACTGAGCTTTGTGTGTCCGTCTGCTCTGTGCGTCTGTCCACTCTGGGGAGGCCCCCAGCAGAGAGAGGACCAGGATGTGACCAGGTGGTCTGCTCTGATCGTCTTTTTACAGGCAGGACTTCATGGATGAGGGTGTTTGAGGGCCACTATTTATGTGGCACTCATACATCCTGGTGGAGGGTGAGGAGGTGCTTCGGGGACACAGGTGGCTGTCCCCGTGGGTCACTCAGCAAGCTGTCTGCCTCCCCTCTTATGCCCCATCAAAAGGCCACAGGATCCTCCCCTCGGTGGGGCTGTCCAGGGGTTCCGGGACAGCCAGTGCTACTGTTCCAGAGAGGAACCTTGATGTGACAACCCCGGGAGGAGATTTTCAGACCTGCCTGTTCAGAAGGGAGATGGACACACTTTCTCTCTTTCTTGTGGCATTCTGAGAGGCACATCTTGCACGGAAGTGTGGGTTGCTCCCCTGGTACAGGGCAGTATGTGGTCCCTTTGTCCCCCGGCGAGCACAGGCACACCTTGACCAGAAAGCTCAGGCCGAGGCTTGCTCTAGAAGCTGAGATGCCACCTCGAGCCACATGGGGGCACTCCAACCCAGCAGGACTGAGCTGGGCGCTCTGGCCTTTCAGAACGTCCATAGGAAATGCCCTCAGAACGGTGTTGCCAGCTCCTGTTGCTTTTCTGCTTACTGGACAAAGACAGTCCCAATTCCAAATTGTCACATTCCTGGCTTCAAAGGTCACTCAGGTACGAATGGCAGTGAACACACGAGGTCACTTGCCTGTATCGAAACATGACACAAAGTCACCGGAGAGGCCCTCCAGCTCATGTTTTCTGTGGGTTGACACCATTCCAACCCCCCAGTGGGCCAGGCTGTGGCTCTGGGGCCTCACAGTGTGTGGCCTAGTGGACCCCTAGGGCTTGCAAAGTCACTCCATACCTTAAGCCTGACTAGGTCTCAGATGGAGAGGAGCCAGGGCCAAGTGAGGAGGACTAGGAGAGTGGATAGGGCTCGGCCCCGTTGCAGGTGCTCCTTGCTGATCTCTAGGACCTGGACATTGATGGATGGCCTCCTTGTTCAGAGCCGTTTTGTGGGTCTGGTGACTCAGACTATCACCTATTCCCAAGGTGGAAGTGCTCAGGGTGGAAGAACCACACAGTCCTTAGGGAAGGACTACAGGAGGTCATGGACAGAGTGGAGGCAGGGTGGGTGGCTGTCTCTTGGCTTGGAGGCTGGCACACTAAAGAGCAGCCTTGGGGCCAGAGCCTCTCTGAGGTTGACTGGGTGACCCGGACACTATGCAGTAGAAAAACAATTCCAGCATCTCCAGTTAGCTTTTTCAAAAACTTATTATTTTGAAAAAAAATTTATAGTTAAAGTTACAAGAACAGTGTATAGGGGTTTCATGTACCTCTGTCACCATGAGGTACTCCAGAATCATCTTGTATTGTCCCTATGCCAGGCCTGGAATCCTCCCCGACTCCAAGGAGCACTGGCCTTTTGTTGGAAAATAGTGCTTAGAACCCAAGCTCTCTAGAGCCAGGAGAGGTGGCACATGCCTGTGGTCCCAGCTACTCAGGAAGCAGAAACAAGAGAATCACAGTCCAAGGTTGGCCTGAGCAAAAGTGCAAGACCCTATGTGAAAACAAACAAAAAGCAAAAGGATTGGGGGCATGGCTGAAGTGGTGTAGCAAGCACATGGCCCTGAGTTCAATACCCAGTAAGGAAAGAAAGAGAGAAGGAGGGAGGGAGGGAGAGAGAGGAAGGAAGAAAGGGAGGGAGGGAGGGAGGGAGGGAGGGAGGGAATGAGAGGGAGAGGGAGGAAAGGAGGCAGAGAGAGAGAGGAAAGAAGGAAGGGAGGGAGGGAGGGAGGGAGGAAGGAAGGAAGATTTCTAGGTCTTGGTGTGCTTGTTGCTGTAGGGGTAACTTCATTTCTAGTTCCACTCACAGGGAGAGCTTGGAAATATATGTATGTGTACTTGCCTATGCATAGCCACACATCTGTGTTTGTCAATCTCCCTGCCCACATTTATCTAGCCATCCATCATCTGTTTGTCTGTTTATCTGTCTAGCTAGCTGTCTATCATCTATCCATATCTAACA